ACGAACCGATGGTGTACCTTCTAGACATTCATCAGTGCTTGTAACAGCCTGAATTGAATAAATGATTTTTATTATGCTTATCTCAGCTGGCTTAACTTAGCTTCGGAATAGCTCAGTTTTTGGTCTGCATCTCGCTCTTTGAGCCCGCTTACGTGAATCGTCCGTAATATTAACGTGACGCATATACAATGTAAGAAATTCGTATCTACAAACACTTTACATCGAATTCATTTAAATTAATAAGAGTGGGTTATTGTGAGCGTTTTCCTTAATAGCTGGTATGCTGTTTGCTGCCATCAGACACCATAGACAAAAAGTCATCTTTCAATTCCATCCAGCGCTAAAACCTAATTTTGATGAACACTTATATGTAATCCACTATTTAAATGAATGTTCGTTGCCGTAGTATTCAAAAGCAAGCCAAGATCTCAATCAAAAGACTTCAGTAAAATTAGAAACAAGAGAAGTACGTTAAATTTAAATAGATATTTGGAATGGTATGCAATATCATTCGCCAATAACATCGATGTCAGGAAGACCCTAAATTTAACAGAGGTGCAATGACATATAAATTCCGGATCATTGGCGAATGTTATGAATAATCACTGGTCGAAATATGTTTTATTATAATACGGGTACTTAATGACCTTATTCCCAGATAAAACTACGATGAAAATGAAATTTATAGCGTTTGATACTGATGTTATTTTAAATATTTATTAAAGAATTGACAAGTTTACATGATAAAAATTAATCATCAACCTATTACTTCGTCTGTGGTTGAGGCATAGGTCATCCTATGTAGGGGAAAATCGACTTGTCCAGGTGGGAGAATTGAACCATCTTTCAAAATTGTATTTAAATTTAGCGCAAAAAAGGTTAATACGCTCATTGGTCACATGCGAGACACTTATCACAAATGCATGCATGCATGTGACCAATGAACAAATTGACGAATTGTTTACGCAATTTAAATACAATTTTGAAAGAATGTACAATTCTCCCACGGGCAGTCACCCAGATTTTCCCAATCACAGAGATTTAGAAAAAATATTACACAGATGTGGGGCAAATTTGTAGTACTAATGATTGTACATGCAGCCGGGATAACGATTAAGTGTGCCTTCCAAATTGCGAAATGTGTCTTGAAATAGTAATTGTTTGGTCACCCATCCTATAACAGTTTTTGGAAAAGTTGCTGTGATTTCTTCGAACGCCTCTTCAAAAGTTACTCACCCTGAATTAAAAAAATTAATAAAGGACAAAGGATATATATTAATTGAAAATGGGTGTGAAATTGACGAGTTATCAGTATCTGTTACAATCGCAAAAAATAAAAGTGACCTTGCTGTCATAATAAAAAACAAACTTGAAAAGTAATAATTGACGTCTTTCTGTACAGTTTCATATACACTGGCCTGCAAAAATAAGTATCAAACTTTTAAAATTGCAATAACTTTTTAAGTACAAAAAGTTATATCTTGTGTTTTCAAAATCAAAAGAAGTCGAAAAAAAGTTATATCTTGTGCTTTCAAAATCAAAAGAAGTCGAAAAAAAGTTTAATTTTGTACTACATTTCAAAGAAAGCTGATAAAATTTGCTACAGATCTTTTTTTATTTAAAATTTGTAACTCCTTCAGTTTAGAAATCATTCAAATTTAAAATAATGTGATACTGAGTTTTGCAGGCCAATGTATTTTAAATGCCCATAAAGGCAAATTGATTTTTATGTACAAGGCCAACTAGACTAGACGTATAATAAACAGTTGTGTTGAAAACTAATAAATCATCACCCACAACGAATATTTTAACAGCTGCTACAAATACTAATGTGGCGCGATATTACTATTTAACTTTATCACTTTCATTTCAGAAGCTATTTTTTATATTTCAAATTATTAACATTCCCAATATACACTTGATCCAGATTTTTCTTTAAAGTAAGTATAAAAAACAGTAGTAGCGTAGCTATCCTAAACTGTGTTTTATTTATTGAGTGGCGCATACCACCACAGAACATAAGAAAATTTATAAAAACGGCGAAGATATAATATATATATATATATATAAGATATATAAAAGATCACAGTAAAATAACACTCCAAATCCAGCGGGAAATTCGCTGTACCATATATCCCTTGTCTATGCTGCAATGAAGATTGTTTCAAAGATTCTAATTTATTAACTGTTAGAATAGGTATCTTATCTATAAAACAGACCTCGATTTTATCACGGCTGTATAGGCCTTCCCTATTTGAAATTTGCAAAAGTTGCTTAATTTACAAAAATGAATAAGGTATGCCTAAAAAATAAATATAATGCAAATGTAATAACTTAACTTAAAAGTAAGTTGATGCTTGAAATAACGGATAAGTATGATCGTTTTGAAGAGTAAAAGAAATACGACGAAGCGTAACGGGACATCTCTCGTAACTAGTTCGTTTACTTGAAGAAATATCAAACAATATGCGCGTCCAAACTTTGTTTATCTCCCGCTCTCACAGCCACTTAAAAGTTTGTTTAGCATGCGCTTTCTTTAAAACGAAGTTGCTCATAATGTTTTTGTAATGGCGAATATAAGAGATTTGATTATGTAGAAGTTTTATATGATTTGTATTTTCTTTGAGTAAAAAAGCCAACCTTTCGCCCGTAAACTGGTGACTAAAATATATGCGTAAATATAAAGTAACACGCGCGTGTTGCCTACTCTGACACCATTTGCTATCCCCTGACACCCTTAATATAAAACTTAGAATAATCTGGTGGTGACCCTATATAAGAGATAAAACCCTTTAGTTCCTTTTTTTCTATGAGATTAGATCCCTACCCATACGAATAATGATTATTTTCGTTATCATATTTATTAAAAACAGTCAAGAGCTCAATGGAGCATCGGTAAGCGCATTTGGTTTGCGATTGTGGAAGGTAAAAGTTTCACAATGGCGGGTGCACTTAATAAGACATGTTCCGCCTTATTCCAATACGCGGAATAAAGTTAGTCTTGGTTTAAACCTAATTTAGTCTCTGCCTTTTTTTTAGGCAACAGAAGTGACACCATCAGATTTAGTTTAATGTATTGGTTCCGGTTAACTTACTTCAGTCGTACTTAGCGGTGATATAAAGAAGCTGATAATGATAGTATATAAAATAAAAATAGGTAAAAAAACTTTTTAAGTTAAACGGTTTTATGTTAAACATACATTGCAATGTTTAAGATAAATGTACTAAAAACCAAAAAACAAGAAAATAGATACAGTCGTGGGAATTATAAACATATGCATAGACTAGACTAAAATAAAACCGTGGGGCACGTCAATTGTCTACAAATTATCGACTTAATGTGCGATAGAAGAATAGTTTAATTCGTCGTTAGGCAGTTGGCCCGCAGACGGTGAGGAAATTACTATTTTCTTGCTCATGGAAATTCCAATAGTTATACACTCCATGTAAATAAAAGAGATGTTTCAACTAGTTTATCGTTGGACATTCACACTGCTGGCTGGCGAGGAATCGTTTCACTGCTCGTAGTTTGTCTTTAATCGACAAAACATATGATAAAAGTACTACTCGCTCACCACTATGAAACCCTAAAACTCGCTTATAATCGCTTGCTAGCTTGTTTCCACATTCTAGCCCTACTTATCACACGTCCATCGTTGTCGGTTGAACAACTGCCTAATTATAGTGTAACATTACAAAACAAACATTTTAATCAACGATTGTAGACAATTGACGTGCCCCACGGTTTTATTTTAGTCTAGTCTATGCATATGTTTATAATTCCCACGACTGTATCTATTTTCTTGTTTTTTGGTTTTTAGTACATTTATCTTAAACATTGCAATGTATGTTTAACATAAAACCGTTTAACTTAAAAAGTTTTTTTACCTATTTTTATTTTCTAGTTTTTAGTTTTTATTTCGCATTCTGTTTAATTCATTTAGTGCTTCATTATTTGCAGTTTCTGTTTTATTTGTGTTTGTATTTTTTATATTTTTTTTTTACCATTTTGTTCCCACGAGTAATGGACATTTAAACGGTCGACCCCCCCAGAGGTCCAATAAAGGGGCGAGGCTATGTACAACAAGATGCGCCTGAGTCTTGAGGGGAAAACGCTAACGACATATCACTTTTATCCACCCTAATGCCATACAGTTCTCGGCGCGTTTTAACCTTTCACCTTAACTTGGGTGGTGTACCGCTAACGACGTATCATTTTTAGCCACCCTAACGCCACACAGTCCATCAACACGATACAAAATCTTGACTTGGGTGGTGGATTCAGGCTGGATTAATCAGATACCTAAATTACAGATTCAATTTCTAAATTTAAATCTTATTATTATACGCCATTTCGTGGCTGCGCCCATCTTAAATATTGAGGTTGTATAGTGCACTGTATTCTTCTTGTCAAGCCCTTTTATTTGATACCCATATTTGTGGGATTAATAAAAAAATGTTATCAGCCATTTGGTAGCGGCGGCCATCTTAGATTTCAATAAATAGTATAGTAAATTATATTCATATAGCATAATAAATTGTATTCTACTTGTTGAGACCTTTCATTTGATACCCATATTGATGGGATTGATAAAACCTACGTTATCCGCCATTTTGTAGCGGCCGCCATCTTGGATTTAATTTTTTTATAGTATATTGTATTTTGCTTATTGAGCCCTTTCATTTGATACCCATATTGATGGGATTGATAAAACCTACGTTATCCGCCATTTTGTAGCGGCCGCCATCTTGGATTTCAATTTTTTATATTATAGTGTATTTTGCTTGTTGAGCCCTTTCATTTGATACCCATATTGATGGGATTAATAAAACATAAATTATCCGCCATTTTATAGCGGCGGCCATCTTGAATTCATAATCATAATGAATAAACATAATTGTATTGTCACCAAAATCCAAAGTGTACACAAAATTTCAGATTAATCGGTTGACAGGAAGAGGGTGAAATTTGAATTATTAAATTTGACCCAAGAATAAAACAAAATAAAAAAAACAATATGGTTCAATGAATCCAATTTATTCCATAGTATTCGTACAAGTTTGATTGCAATGCCGCCCTTCTCGCCAATCTACGTCTCAGTCTGGACACTTCGGCGATGCGGAGCTTAGGGCTTAGACTCCTTCGGGAGCTAAGGTCTGGACACCTGTACAGTAATGAAGAATTAAAAAGAAAGACAAAGCATAGGTGGTTAGTTCTTCAAGGATCCGTTTTTGGAGGTCACACGCTTGTTATTCCTAATCTATTGTAAACATAGCCTTAGAATCAATTGCAAATTATTCTTTATTTATACTTGTATACAATTATGATGATTTTTTTTTCTAAATCTGGAGTAGAAACGAACAGAAACTTTTCTTCGTGCCAACCAAAAAAGCCAACCTTTTGGCCGTAAGCTGGAGACTAAAATGTAGGCATAAATATAAAATAACACTGAGACCATTTGCTAACCTTATATAAAATAATGGTATTTAACCAATATTTAATAATACCAAAAATAAAAATGTGGGGTAAATTAAAAAAAAATTTTAGTATTAGTTTTTTTAGTAGCATTTTGTTAATGTCACACGTTTTAGCAATTTTGCGAGTGCGTGTCTTAAACGGCTTACATCTTTAAATAGTGCCGACATGTAGCCACAAATTTTAGCCGCACGGATACGCAGTTGTACCCTGCATCTCTGAAAACGAACTTACTGTTCATCGCTGTGCTTTAAATAAATTATCAGTAAGTTATTTTTTTTTTAATCTAACAACCAAAAACAAAGAGGCTCAACACAAGTATTTTACAATTACTTACTGGGACCGTTTCATCTTTGCTTAATTGTATGCACTTATGTTAATAAAAATACTTATATATATTTTTTAAACTACTTTCGGTCTTAACTTTTGGTCATGTAAAATACATAATAAATACATAGTAAAAAAAAGTTTTCGGTGTTCACGCCATAGGTACGAGTACTTTATCAATAACTTAAATCATCGAGATTGTCCTCTATTAATGTTTCTTTTCAGAACCATTTTGCTATAAAATTTAATTAGGGAAAGTTTGGGAAACCTTATCGATGTTGTGAATTTCAAGCAAGGTTGTGTTACACTTCAGCCGCCTTATCCTTATTAACTCTCATAATCTCCGTCTTTACACCTAGAGTCATAAGCCAAACACTGCTTACATCATTGACTGTTCATTCTTGTTACATATTATTATATTTTTGTTTACTATTAACAGACTTGAAAACGGAAGAGATTTTACATTCGTCAGCAAAAAAAAAAACTTTAAATACCGTCTATAACAGCCGTATTAAGTCATATGTTGTGAAATTAACTTTAAATATATAACTTATATACGAGGAGCTTGATGGCGCAGGTGGCTAGCGCGTTCGGCTGCGATCGCTGAAGTTAAGCAACTTTCGCAATGGTCGGTCATTGGATGGGTGACCAAGAATCTTCTATCTCGAGTTCCTCCGTGCTTCGGAAGGCACGTTAAGCCGTTGGTCCCGGCTGCATCTGCAGTCGTTAGCACCCGCCAATCCGCACTGGGCCCGCGTGGAGGGTCATGGCCCAATCTCCCTATACCATCCATAGGGAAGGCCTGTGCCCCAGCAGTGGGGACATTAATAGGCTAATGATGATGATGATATAACTTTAGTCAAACTAGAAAATTACTCAACTTTTCTGAGTAAGGCTTTTGTCTAACGGCTATTTTTTTTTACTATTTTATATTCATCTTATATTGTATTTAATATCCTTGTCCTCATGTTATTTGTATATTTCTTACTTGTATATTTCTTTTGTGATCAGGTCATCGTTCTTACACCTGATAGTCCACTGGCTCCAGTACTTGAAGCCTTCTCGGTAGAAGATCAGCTGAGCGCACGCTGTGTCGTCACGGATGTCGTCATCGAGGAGGGCTGGTTAAAAATAAACGTAGAATTAAAAATATTACATATCAAACAGTAACAGATTGAGGGCCTGGAAATGTTTGAGTGCAAAACCCTTTAAATGAAAAATAAATTAAGAAAATTACACTGTCCATTCCTTCTTTCCGCCCTTTCAACCACAAGTCAAACATATTTACAGGTGTGCTAATGTGCACTTATAACCTCAATCGTTTAATTTGAATCTACGCAAGCATCTCTTATCTATTAGACAAGTCCGTCCGTCCGTCTGTGGTGCTGTTTCAGCGGCCAAACCGTAAGAGATAGATAAAGAAAATATTTAAGTTATAAGTTAAGAATAGTCTGATAAGACTACAAACCGGATTTGAGTAACGTAGCACTTCCGGTTTTCGAGAAATCACGAATTTCAAACGAAACCACACAAAATCTCCGAAGTTCTCAATTAATTAAATTTTTTTTTAAATCAGGTTTTGGTGAACATTTGGTTCACTGGTTTGCTAGTAATAATATTATTTAACATTTTATCCGCCAACAGTTTACGCCTGACTTTCGGAGGGTAAAGGAAGTCAGAGCTCAATAATAATCTGATAACACAGCCACGGAATAACCTCATAATAGAAATAGTTATTGTAACTAGCACTTCTAACAATAAGCAAAAAGAGCGAATGGCTATTGAGCGAGCAGCGTAACCCCCTCACGTATCTGGGCATTCCGCTAGAGTGGAAATATTAAAGGTAACCGTATACATCAGCATAGAGTATTATTACGGCTGGCGTAATCAAATACACTGAATTGTTGCAATCATTGGCAGCGTAATTTTTTGTTAATTAGCTGGCACAGAGGGCTATGCTTGAATTAATCATCATCATACTACTAATATTATAAATGTGAAAGTTTGCAAGTTGGTGTGTTTGTATTTTTGTTACTCTATCACGCAAAAACTACTTAACGGATTTGGATGAAATTTAAACCACATATATTTATGACCTGGATTCAGACATAAGATGCGTTTTACCCGGAAGAAGTTCTCCGGAGTTTCTCCGGAAAAAAAAGTTAAAACGACCGAAGCAACGGGCGGCCGCTAGTAAAAATTTTGTCATTACCTTTATTTATTAGGTGATCAATTGATATTTGTAGTTATGCTCAATAAAAGCCAGTTATTTCCAACTACATCCTATATATTTGTGCGAAACGGATCTTAGTTGATTTTACGTGTGTCAATACTCTATAGTCTCGGCTTACCCCGGTTTTTACATTCTATTATATTCATTCCGCGCACGTGTTCCCTCCATCCTACCATCTGGGGTCTTTAAAGAGAGGTGTGAAGAAGCATTTTTGCAGGCCGGCAAGGTGAGGATGGTTGGTGTAGTGGTTTATAATTGCTATACCAGCTATCTTCGCGTTTGAATTTTATCACCACTTAACATCAGGTGGGGTTGAGTCATTTGCCTACCTGGAAATGTATATAAAAAAACAATCTGCCTTTTTCGTGTAGTATGTAAGTGTATATAAGTATGTTCGTCATCAGTCTAGTTATTAAAGTGAAACGTTTATGACAATGCCACAATTTTTATCGTTCATCTCTAACATGTTATTAAAAATTGAGGTAATGTTAAACACTTTAAAAATTTTACTTACATGGTGGTTTTTCATTTCCACATGTCCAAACTAATAATGTTACGTTACCAGTGTAATAGGTGTGCATTAACCCCAAAGTGGCAAGTGAACCAAAGTAAACGGGTTTGAAAGCGGCGAGTGAATGTGTGTCCAATACCTCCTATTATTGCAATCGACATCCTTATGTGATAATTTTGGGATTCACAGAACTTTCATAATTTGAGATATGATAACATTTTAACAGAAAAGGTGGTATTTCATCCACATTCTCTTTTTAATCATAAATAAGACATGTTTGGTATCATAATCTATCAGCTTATTATTGCTTTCGACATTTTGGGATTAATTAGACAATCTAAGAATCTGCTGAAATTTCTGATTTCGAGATCTGAAACGACGTTTGGAGATAAACAAAACTAACACTTGAGGTTTCACCCGCATTAAATTGAGGAAAAAGTTTATAGAGTCAGTGCGGAAAAAAAATGAGATTTAGATTAGAGGGCGCTGCAGTGCTTTTCTACCGCATTTGTAAGGTTTAACCCCTTTTAAACATGATCAAATACAAAAAACCGCAAGAAATCACAGCAACAAACAAATCCGTATCAATACAAAAATTTGACGTTTAAATAAAAATATTAATGTTAGTTCCGTTTTTCGCCTCGCCCATTCTCTTTCCGCACAGACTCTAGTGGATAGCCCTCAAAACAGAAAGACATATGCTGTTGCAATTTTTTTATAGAACTTTTAAAGGAGAAAGAACGATTCCGTCATACACGATTTTTGTACTGACCGTTTGCGGAGCGCACTCAACGGAAGCTCTCAAACGGAATATTGTTTTTCCGTTTTTGCAACATTTTCCATTAGTGCTCCGCTTCTATTAGTCGTATCCTCATATTATGTTATATCTTCCTCGACAATTTTTCAAATCGTTAATTTTTTTAATGGAGCAAACAAACAATCAAAGAAACTCTTCAGCTTTATAATACCTACCTAATTTCATTCAAATTTCATAATTTGAGTGAGATTTTAACAGAAAAGGTGATAATATTTCATTCAAATCCACTTTTTGATAAAACATGTTTGGTGTCGTTATCTATCAGCCTATTGTTGCTATCGATATTTTCTGTTATAATTTTGGGATTCCATGAAATTTCGGAATTCGAGATGTAAAACGGCCCAGTTTGTGGTAAAAAAAGGAGTAAACATTAGTTATGTTTTAAGGAAAAAGTTTCCAAAACATAGGATTTGAAAGTGCACTGGTTTTTAAGGTGTCCCCCAATCAGAGGTCCCGAATTCGAATTAACCCGGCGTACAAACCACTCGGATGGAGGTCGTCCAATCAAATCAATCTTATACTCACATTCACAAGCAACATTGCAGTCTCCACCACGTTTGCCTTCACGGCACCATTTGCTGGGTATCTGAAATGACCACAAAACATTAAGTAAGCATTTGAGACAACCTCGATGAGCTCGATGGCGCAGGTGGTTAGCGCATTCGGCTGCGATCGTTGAAGTTAAGCAACTTTCGCCATGGTCAGTCATTGGATGGGTGACCAAAAATCTTCTATCTCGAGTTCCTCCTTACTTCAGAAGGCACGTTAAGCCGGTGGTCCAGGCTGCATCTGCAGTCGTTAGCACCCGCCAATCCGCACTGGACCCGCGTGGTGGATCATGGCGCAACCTCCCTATTCCATCCATGGGGAAGGCCTGTGCCCAAGCAGTGGGGACATTAATAGGCTGATTTGAGAGAAGCAGGGCATGGCGGATTTGCCGCTCGAATTGAAGCGCCCGTCTGGGGAAGTAATCTCCACCTTACTGAAGACCACAGGAAAATAACACTACCTTTTGGTGGTGTTGTATTTTGGTCGGTGAGTAAGGTTCCAGGGTTCCACGGGGTAGGGAATTGGTTTAGGGTAGGCAAAGAGCGAGTGCTATTTTTGGTATTGAAAGGTGTTAACGCCATCTAACCTTCGACGAGAGAAGCTGCAATCGGTCCATCATCATCGTCCGTTCATACATTCATCCCTCGCTCATTAGTTTCATATACATTCATTCTCTCCCTTGCAATTCGAATTCAAAAAAGACAACGTACGCACATAATTTCAATAATATCTGTATTTTACTATGAATATTATTCTACAATGTGAATATCCGATTTTTATTGAGAAATTCACATGAAGAAGACGCTAAGCTATCGAACCCAAGGGTCTATACGCAGATTTTTGACATTTATAAATCCTGCTTTTCAAGCACAGTGAACTTCGCTATGATAAAACTATGTGACAAAGCTGACACGCTAAAAGGCCATTCTCGAATTCTCAGATAGGTATTTTTCTGTGTGCCACAAAACTGTTTCTGGAAAATTCACTCTGCATTGCGCCTTTTGCTTGTTCACCCGTCCATTCGCTATTAGGCAGTATCGTAACGATACCCAATAAACTGGCCTCGTCCACATATTTTATATTAGTATATGTAATACTGACGTGTAGCAACAAAATAAATAGAATAAAAAAAAAGAAAGGAGAAAACAGGAAGAGGTTATAAAATACACACATATATATATATATATATATATATATATTTACACAAAAGTTATTATGGCAACTTTTGCCGAAGTAATGGATGAAAGATCAGGGTGGCTCGGCCTTTTATAAGTCCGGAACCATTTAAATTTGGACACGATTCGAATCGAACTAAAAAGAATCAAAAGTAGGTGATAGGTCTGTGGAGGTTGAATAGGCATAGACGTAGTTGGAGAGAGTATCCGTGTCATGGGTAGCCTGTCAACGGTTAAAAATATTAAGGTATCACAAATGTCAAAAAAATAAATAAACTGAATTGTGCCTAAAATAAACAAAATCGGAGATAGACAATGAAATTAAATAAATAACAGAATATAGAGAAATGCCGGTAAGTGTCCAGCACACTGGAATAGTGATTTACGAAATGATGAAGAGTGATATTTTTGAAATTGTGCGTTTTCAGGAATTAATAATGAAAGATAAGAAAGAAAAGTGTATAAATATGATGAATAACCATGATGATAGATGACAAAATGTGTGAAATGGAATCTATGACTGCCAAAAACGATGGATCGTCCCTGAGATACGTTACTACTAATAATGAAATACAGAGCGAAAATTTCGTATTATTTTAAATAAAGTATCAAATTACTTAATGCTCTTTAGAAGAATTCGTGCAGTACTCGTATTTGGAAATATGTAATTATTATTATGAATCAAGAACTCTGAATGTAAAGTGATTCTTATTTTTATTTTTCCTAACACAGGCGCCCATGACTTCGTCCGCATTAACGAATGATGGATAAGCTAATTATTTTATCTCAACTAAAATGTTAAGTTTGAATAGGATAATATCAAAGAACAAATTACAGAGTACACTTTTTACTGGAGAAAGAATTCCTAATTTTATTGAAATAGAAAATTATTTCGTTAATCGAGTTACTCCGTGATCATGGCGCTTGCAACAACGTCGAAATATCGGAAACTCGCTAAAAACAAGGTACATGGTAACAATCCTGTAAATAATTTATATTACTAGAAATATAAATTTATTGCTACATGAACTGCTGCTATATTTATAAATACCAAAATGCATTTGATTTTCATTCTTCTTTCATTCAGCAATAAATCATCAGACCATCATATTCTTCATCATCGGTATTTTTTAATTTCACCACTGCTGGGGCACAGGCCTTTCCTACGTATGGCATATGGAGACTGGATGATAATCTACCCACGCAGGCCCAGTGTGTATTGGTGAATGCTAACGACGGCAGATGTAGTCTTGATCAACGGCTTAAGGTGCCTTCTGTTGCACGAAGGAGCTTGAGATAATATTTTTGGTCACCCATCCAAACGATGCAGTAGACGAACTGGCTAAGAGAGGAACAAACACAAAAGTGTATGATCAGGAACCCTTGCTGCCCATACCTCTACCTCTCTTTATAAAACGTGGCAGCGTGAAAGATCTCAGCAATCACACTTAACAGAGTAGAAAACAGGTGGAGGATGCTGGCCAACAAAGAACGCAGTTCCCGCGGCAAACAAGACACTTGCCCGCAACCTTACCAGACTAACCAAAAAGGGAAAAAATCCGCAAGATTACAGGAATCCTGACTGGTCATTGTCAGGAGACAGGGGAAAATTTAAGTGTTCGTTCGGAGTAAACGGGAGTGTTTCGAGACAAGTGTAATGGTCCAATAGGGATGTCCAGACATTACGAAAGTCGCTTAACTTCCAGAATCGCACACCGAACGCACTCATCACCTGTGTCATCTATCCTCAACAGATATACCAACATAATCTTTATGTATAAAAGGCAACCGCTACCGATTGACTGTTCTATCAACGCACAGATCAAACCACTGAATGAATTGCGTTAAAATTTTAGCGATTATTATGTAGGTATGCGCTAAGAAATGATTTTCCAAAACTCACCACCTAAAGGGGAGAAACGGGGGTTCAAAGTTTGTATGGGAAACATATTTCCGCGCAGACGAAGTCACGGACACAGACTAGTTTGCGTATAGATAGAGTGTAGTTTATGAGTCGGAGAGTAACACCAGCAATATTTTATAAACTGAAACATCCTCCGGGGTAGGTCTGCGCTGCATATCCTCTGAATATTCCGAGCATGCTGTGAAAATTCACGAGGCGCGAACGTGTGTACATTTTCATGCATTTGTTCTAGTCACACAAGATGCTTCGAGTGTATTTACGTTGTGTTCAGCACACTATATTCATACACAATTTTTTGTTTGCTCCAGAACAAGTTGAGGTTTTTTGTTAAAGTGCGGGTGTTCTAAATTATAATTTTTGTCACGTAATATTGTTAAAATATACTCTTTCATCTCATTATTATCTCTTTCTATTATTTAAATTTTGGCTTGGAGGACTCCGAATACCAGCCTTCATAAAAAATCAAAAATCACCAGTTTAAAGTTTAGAGAATCATGCCAGAATTAGTCTCAATATTGGACTATTTAGGAATACATAAAACTGTATACACTGACTGAAAATATTCAATTTTTAAGACCAACCGCATATATATTAGTGGACACATTATGATGAATAAGAAATCGTCCTGACAAAATCGAATCTCACACTAAAACTAATTTCAATGACAAATGCTTTGCAGAAGATTTTTGAAGCAAAAAGCTATGTGAGTAGTAATTATCATTCTATGAATAGCCCCACTACCAGTGGCCTATGGATAGAATAGGGATACTGGGCCTTAACACACCACGCGCACCCAATGCGATTGGCAGGTTCTAACGACTGCAGATGCAGCCGGGACTCGGGGCTCGAGATAATAAGTTTTGGTCACCCATCCAATGACCGACCATTGCGAATGTTGCTAAATTTTCACGATCGCAGGCCGAATGCGCTGACTACCTGCGCCATCGAGCTCCTTGAGCAGTTATGCATTAGACTTAATAAATAGTTAATAAAATTAACTTTATATGTTACGCGTTTTTTTATATGTAACATCTTTCCGACTAAATATATTAAACTATATTGCAGTGGTCGTGAGAACATAAATATCTACAAACGTGAGTTTTGTACACCTAGCACGAACCATTATTGAGTTCGAATAGTCGAATTCGATCTATATTGTACATAAAATGTGTACTGATTTTTAGTTCTCGTTACGTCCGTTGTGGCGCTGCTGTTCAAGTTTGCATACAAATTGCGACATTGACATTTCGCATTCGCAAACTATTCAAATTCGATATTGGTTAAGCAATTTTCGCAGTGACCAGTCATTGGATGGGTGAGCAAAAATTCAGTATCCCGAGATTCTCCGTGCTTTGGAAGGCACGTTAAGCCGTTGTTCAAGGCCGCATCTGCAGACATTATCACCCTCCAACCCGCACTGGACCCGCGTGGTGGGTCGTAGCCCAATATCCTTAATTCCATCCATAGAGAAGCTGGGGTAGAGGCCTGCCCTGGCACTGATTTAAAAAATCCATCCATAGGAAGGCCTCTGCTCCAGCAGTGGGCACAGTAATAGGCTGATGATGACTAACAAAACATTGGTGTGAACGTCAAACCTATAAGATTGAATGAGATGTGAAAGAGGAAATTCGACACGGCCATCAGGGCCGCATACTGGTCAGTTCATTCGCCCAGATAGCGAAGGGTGCGGGTTCGAATCCCGCCTGCTGGCTGGTGCGTGTGGCATTTTTCCTAGTATTTTTTTTATTTCAAAAATCCATCCATAGAGAAGGCCTCTGCTCCAGCAGTGGACACAGTAATAGGCTAACGATGACAAACAAAACATTTGTGTGAACGTTAAACCTACAAGATTGGATGAGATATGAAAGGGCGAATTGAAAATGTGACGTCACATTTCCTACCCGACTCGGAGCTCTATCCGCGTGTCCATAATACGCTTGTAGTCGCAACGGTGGCCGTCGCCGATCCAATCGGAAAATGTAAATTAAATACGAGCCCGGAGCAAATGAGTAAATAAATTACAGAGGCTTCATGCGGTACGCGTGTGCGAATGAGCACTGGTGGAATAAAACGCAATGAACCGTAAACGAACCGCAACTTTTTAAGATATTTCGTATCACTTAGATTTGACAACTAGTTGAGATGTAAACGTATCACGATTAGACCGTACTCCAGTAAAATTCAGCCAAAAACATAAAGTATATTTTCAGTCGGCAGGTTAAAATTAGCGCGATACAGATTTCGCTTGTAGTTTCAATTAGAGTTGAATGTTGAAGTTTCAATTAGAATTCGAGTTGCAATTAAAATTGGACCAAGATTAAACTTCGGCGGATCGTTCAGAATAATAAATATCCCGATAGACCTGCAGATGTCAAATGGCCCACAACAACAAATCGAGACAGCTGTCAAACTTACAAGGATAACCAGCAAATTCCGATAGACTTGCGCTGCGTTCCAAACCTACGCTCTTGGCGCAACAAATGTCAAATTCGACATAAGTTTCATACATTAATTTCATGTTAAAACTGAAACGTCAGGGTAAAAAGTTGCACTCAGAGCGTAAGTTTAGAACTCAGCCTTGAAGTTGTAGCTTGCTTGTTATGGGCCAAATGGCTAAAGCGCCATCTGTAATGAGCTTTGTGTTTTCTTCCCCATAGAAACGTTTTTGCGTACGCGACAGGCGCCAGTGCTGACTCACAGGCGCGCACTAGGGTATTTGTCAACTTTTTGAAGTGAAAGTTCTATAAAGATGGATTGTATTAGGATTTTGGTGTCACGAAAAGCGTGGAGGGGGTAAACGATATAACGCGTGGTAAAAGACGACAGCGGCGTTGAAGATTCACTTTAACTATGTGTCGCAGCACACATTTTTTTAAGAGCTGGTTTATCAGTGTTTTCGGGCTCCCAAAAAGTGGCTAAAATCCTTTTGTGTTATATTTTTTATTTTTGTTATTGTGGGTTACCTACAATGAGAGAAGGTAGCGCTGCCTTGTAGCCTAAGACATGCTAGAGAAAATTCGATACTACCAACAGGACCGCGGTAGCATAATGTTCGAGTCATGTCTGCTGCCTGGTCCGTGTGGAATTTTCCTAGATTTTTTTTTAGATTTATAAAATCCTTTTAACTAAATTAAAAATCTACTCTTTATTATACACACACACACAAATTTTCATTTTTCTTCTGTGAAAATCGTTGCCAATATTTATTTTAATACAGATGGCACCTATTGGTGTTTTATTTTTAATAGTATCAAATATCGTATTTAGCGATCATTCTCAGTAAATCCATTGGCTAGATCAATGATGAATCTAGTGAGAATTTATTTTCTCATAAGATCCTGATTACAAGCTATGGATCGACATAGGTTTTGATCTCTCATTAGATCCATAGCTTTGCTTCTGTACATTATTTACTCTCGAGCTCGAAGCATCCATCTGGCTCGATATCTACCGATAATGCGAGCCGTGAGGCGGTCTCATCAATGTGCTAATGCTGACTTAATTCGATGAGCCGCGGGTTTGGTCTATGGTTACTAAATACTTTGAAACTCTTTGCTGATCCGAAAGGGAGAGTTGTTTTCTATTTTTAACATTCATCATTATTCGCTCGCCGTGTTTTTATTTCATGGGTGCTAAATATGTATTTCTATATAAATATACTTCTAGATGTACTGTATATTTGTTCTATCTATTACCCTTGTGTAACACACTACAGTGTTAGCTTTGGGGCTAGGCTAATTGGTATGCGTTTAAAAAAAATGGGTGCGTGTACTTATGTAGGCGCGTGAGAAGTTATCCTTCTTTGGCATCGTTTAAAATTAGTTTTTAATTGCATGCAAATAATTAATTACAATAAATTAATTTAAAGTCTGGAAAAGGACACAGTCAATAAAGTTCAGTTTTAATTTGAAAAAATAAATAAATAATCAAAATATTCAATTAAAATCGCTACTGAATATAATTTATTAGAAAATATGTGATTTGCACTTGTATGAAACTCAAACACGTATTCCGAATATACAAACTAGAAACATGTGTATAAATATTATAAATATGAATACCTATAACTGTTACTTTATTACAAAAAATAAAGATGTGGTTTTTGGTTCTACTACACCAATGGTCAAGAGATGGCGCTGTAGTCTCCTGAATCGCGCTTTGGTTCCGTTGTTCCAGATTAATAAATACTTTTTGTTACTTTATTACAGAAAATAAAGAAGTGGTTTTTGGTTCTACTACACCAATGGTCAAGAGATGGCGCTGTAGTCTCTTGAATCGCGCTTTGGTTCCGTTGTTCCAGATTAATAAATATTTTTGATAGGCCTTCACAATGCAGTAGTTAGCACCCACAAAATAGAGATTCTATTTCTATTTTGTTGGTAGATTTTCTTAATGTGCGGTAAACACAAAAGTAACAGCATGAAGTTGGTCGCTAAAGCCAACCAACTTCATGCTGTTAATTTTTTGTGTTACAGTGATGCGCGCGCATCTTAAAATTTCACTCTCATAATTTTTTCATAACGAGCCTAAAGAAGTATAACTTCAAAAAATCAAACCTCCAGCCCATAGTCGCATAATTATTAGTCGATAATATCGGATGTGTTATTTCATCATACATCTATTGCTTTGCGTCGTTATTATCGCAGCAGTGAGTAACTTCGTAGCCATTCTCATATAAAGTATTAAAGGCAAACCATATTAATGTATGTTTGCCACCCTTTTTCGACAAAAATAAAATCAGAAAAAGCTTTTAATCCAGTTATCCACTTTTGTTGTAATATTTCGAAAGTAATGAGCATACATATGTACATTTTGGCGACAAATTATTATTTACATATATAGATTTTTAACAATTCGACATAAATATCTACTGTTATATTGCCACTTAAACAATCATCCATAGCATTTTTCCGTCCATTTACTTGATATAGATTTCAACAAGGTTCAAGTACAAGATTCTGCCAGATTAAGGAAATTCGATTTCACCATGCGATACAGCAAAAAATTTTCAACATCGGTCGTGACTTTTGTTCGCGTACAAAAAAAAGTTAATCCCAAAATCCCCATTAGTTTTAATACACATACTTACCTGATAAAGTCCGTATAGTTTCTTCCCGCTCGGCGTAACGTGGAAAGCTGCCGTGTCTCGATTGCTCACTTTCTCAATAAGGCAAACCCCTGTGTCACAAAAGTAAAATTTCCATAATAAAAAACATTAATTTCATATTTTAAATCCATAGACAAGTGTTAGTGTCAGACGTAATCTTATTCTAGTGTTAGTAAATGAAAAACGTACAAATCGAACAATAGATACAACAAATAATTTTCAATATACAACATTTGGATTCCGATGTTACTATTATGATGTGATATTTATATGTAATTGTCGTTTTTTTAGCCATTACACGCTCGCTTTTTCTTTAAGCGATTTTAAATAACTTTCAATCTGTATTTTCAATTGTTCAACTGTCTGAAATAGAATTTATAAATAATAAGGTATTTTGGGAAATTTTAATTAAATTAACGATTTTACCACCGCTATAAAATTCAATAGTTTATCAGGATTATATATATAGCTTTGCAGTGCAAATACCTAACCTTTGTAGAAGAGTGACGTTAGCTGCTGTCAATTGTGCAAGGTGGCGGATCAGCAATTATTTAATTCCTTTTTTTCGGTGATATTTTCGGTATTTTAATAGTGATTCTGCTATTTAAATATCAAATATTATCTGGGCGGATATATTGAATTATAAGTGATCGAGTGATAACACGACTTTGCTTTACTATAAATAGATGGAAGTCATGCTCGAATAGTCACAATCACAACTAAAAACAAAGAACAGTCGACGATACCGAAAGAAAAAAAGAAACAATTGACAAAGAGAATATCCTCCTCGCCAGAGAGAAGTGTCAGTACCTACCTAGCTACAATGAAGGTCGTATTCCAAGCACGTACAACAAAAAAACACCGCTCGCACCAATCAACAGATTTGTTCCCACGATATCGACGGGCGGCGCGGCGCGGCATAAGGAAAAACTATTCCTCTCATTGTGTACCTTTGTAGTACTATGTGTACGGTTATTTTGTCTGCGGCGGACGAAATATTCAAACCCGACGAACAATTGAAACATGTTACGATCGGGTATCCTTTTTAACGCGGGACTTTTAATGTCATAATACCTATATTTTTGGATTTTTAAAGCATTTAACTGCTAGATGTTTAAATCTAAAGAAAATTTATGCATATGAGCGGATGACATCCACTCATTTATTGGACAATCAAAACTCATAATTTTGTAAGCCGAAATCACAATAGGCATAAAATTAATATTCATAATATTTAAAAAATTTAAAAAATAGAACCATCATGTCGCAGAAAGTTCACAGTCAAAAGTATCTTTTGGCATACAAATGTTTAACTTTTCTTATCTATCATTCAAATATCGGTGGCTAGCGCTGCTGCCCTGGCGCGCTCGTTTCTATTTATGCTAAACGACATTATGCAGAATCAAATTTTACCAGATGTAATTCTGCCTAGTAAAATTCTGCCATCTTAAAAGTATGTCATTGTGAATTCGGACAAATACGCATTCAGTCAAACAATCATTATATTTAGAAAACAAATATGCCAAGTGTGTTATGCCAAATGAATTTCGGAGCAACAAAATTCTGCGAGATAGAGGTAACCCGTGACGATCGCACTCTCAATTTCGAAATTCGGATTTGAGAATCATGTTTGAGAGACAAAATGAAAGAGAAAGTTTTTTAAAAAAGAAATATGCAGCTTCGAAAAACCTGATAACTGCGTGATATTCGAAAAGGCCTTGAAATTTATATATTTTTTCAGACCTTTGAAATCTCTAAGGTTCTCAATGACGCAGGTGGTAAATGCATTGTGTCTACGATCGTGGAACTTCAGTTTAGGTCAGCCATTGAATGGGTGACCAAAACCATATTATTATCTCGCGGTCCTACGTGCTTCGGAAGGTACGTTAATTTTCTATTTCATTATCCACCCGTAAGGAATATCTGTGCAACATTAAGGGCCTGATGATGATTATGAACCTTTGAGAGTTCCATCCTACCGAAACTCGCCATATTTGAAGTAGATAATTTGCACTAAACTCCATACGATTTAAGATCAACTTAAGCTCGTTAACTCAAATCACGCCATGCCATAGTTCTCGTGATACTGCACTATAGGAATAATAACAATATACCAAAAAACCAGAAAAGTGCAAAATAATGCAACCAAAGCTATATTTTTTTCTATGGTGACCCGATTAGGTAGTAAACAATATATAAACTCCCGGACGCATCTACTGGCCCACCTAGTATTTTAAGTTTTGACCGTACGACCGTTTTGAAGTAGGATACGGGATTCCTAAACAATACTAAACTTAAACTTTGTTTAATCAGCTTTTTATATATTTTTTTTATTTTATAGTCATATTTTTTATTACATTTACATTTGTTATGGAAAGTGACTTCATGAGTTATCTCATATTGAAGTATTTTTTTAAATTTGACGACTCTCTATATAATACAGGGAGAATAAAACAGCCCTTGCTGAGTTTCTTGCCGGTTCTTCTCAGTACAAGGTCTCCCGCCGTAGATTTGCGAACCGATGGCGTAGCTTTTCGACATACACAACTGCTTGTAACAGCCTAGACTGAATAAACTACATTGAATTTTGTTTTTTTTATGGTTTTGACGGTCCCTAGCTAAAAATAAATGTTACATTGAGCAGAAAGCTTTTACGCAGTTCAGCTTATTAACCGTCATTTTCGTGTGATTTTTTTAAATATATAATAATTATTCACAACCTAACTCATTTATTTTTTTACTACAGACCGTTAAACTAACTAACTAACTTAATAAACTAACGTTAAACTAAACTGTTATAACGTTAGTGGGCCGATAGATGTGTCTGGAAGTGTAGAACTCAATAAAGTATTGTGATTTAGTTCTTCCAGTAAGTTAGGTTTGGTTAGGTTAGTTGGAACCAAAACTAATTTCTTAAAACCAAAGAAATTTCCAGGGTATCGATTCTGTCTAAGTAATAATCATGTGGCTCAATGATATCGCTTTTGACACAATTCCCGTGGCTAAAATATAAAATAACAAATGCATATAGATAACTAAACAAAACAATACAATACAAATGACTAAACGATTTTTATTTGTGATTCTGAGTCTTAGTAACCACTGTGTCAAATATCAAAATTACTGAAACACCATCGATAAACGATTATTACACACGCGTACACACACACGCTCACACACGCACACACACACTCGCACACGCACACACACACTCACACACGCACACACACACTCACAAAATCCCACACTTTATAACTTAATAAAGTAGTTAAACGGTTATTTTCTGTATTCTGTAATTTTACTATTTCATCTGTTTCTATTTTTTTCCATTCATTGGGTGCCCACGGTACAGAACCTCTCAGTGTCTGTTATATGTCTGTTGGCATATAACCCATGGTTATCATCATGGTTATATGCCGACTGTATGATGTAGATTTTAATAAATATATTTGTATTTTATTTGTATTTTTATTACTTTAACTTATCAGAATCGACACCCCGTTACGTTAATTTTTATGTCTTTATAATCGTTACATTTTTAATAAAAATAATATCTCAGTTACGCTTGAATCACTCAATTATTAGTCCAGTCATTATATACATTTGGAAATGCAAATGAACCGGGAAAGCCAAATTTTGGATCTTACGTGGGGGGTGGCTAGAAAAGCTTAAGTTCAAATTGTCGACCAAAAAAACCTTGTGGGTATTCCGCCATCTTGAAAAAAGGGTTAAATGGGGAAATGTTCTACGAGAAGGAGCAGATGTTCCGGCACGTACGCCAAAAAAGGGTCTTTTATACCTGACCCATGCCGACACTCCAACCGTCACACGTCCGCCATGGCGCGACGCACATTCCGGCGTCGGGCGCATTGGCGCCGACTTTGCGGCGCGCTGGAGGTCGTAATTTTTCTCGAAAATGAAAAATTAAAAAACGAATTTGTAGGTCTGAACAGGCTCTACAAGTTTTATTCGAAACATTTTTCGGTATTTTTCGTGAGAAAGAAGGAAATAGCGAAAAAAAAAATGTCTCCCAAAATTTGTGGCTTTTTTTATCAATATCTCGACAACGATGGTCGATATATGAAAAATGTATAGGACCTTAATTGTAGATCGTACAAAGAGTAACAAAAAAGTATTCTATAAAAAGTTTCGTATCTCGACGGGGAACCGAGTTTTGATAAAAAAACTGAGTTTAACCCTTTTTTCAAGATGGCGGAAAACCCACAAGGTTTTTTTGGTCGACAATTTGAACTTAAGCTTTTCTAGCCACCCCCCACGTAATATCCAAAATTTGGCTTTCTCGGTTCATTTGCATTTCTAACCCGATTTTTCCGACGTAATGACTGGACTATATTACTACATTTAGACATCAAAACGTTAAAAGTGTATTAATTTTACATTAAGATTTATAGTGTAACAGCAAAATTTCCATAATGGTTAAATAACAGCAGTTATTAAAATGTACAGCATAATTTATAAACATTGCGTTTTAAAACTCAATTATTCCAGGCATTTTATTATTAGCTAGCCATGACACATACTTTTCGTATACTACTGGGTATATAAGCGTGCTTACTGAAAAAAATATGATAATTTTATAATTATGTTATATTAAGATGTAGAACGAATTTCGAAATCGAACGAACGGACGAACGAAACGAACGAAATCAGTACACATTTGGAAATGACATTTCGGACTCGCAAACGATACGAATTCGATATTGGTTCGTGCTAGGGGTACAGTTACATTATCAAAGAATAATGGACACTCATTTTTTCTTTCGTCAATCAACCAAAAAATTATAAAGTTAAAGCGCGTCAAAGTTTGTGGGCACGTGACGTCACTTCTAACTTTCTAAGTGACCAGTAATTGTACTTCTAACCCCAAGCCCGAACCAATATCGAATTCGAATAGTTTGCGAGTCCGAAATGTCAATGTTAAATGTGTACTGATTTTTAGTTCTCGTTACGTCCTTTGTGGCGCTGCTTATGAAGTTTCCATACATTTGGCAATGACATTTCGGACTTGCAAATTATTCAAATTCGATATAGGTTCGTGCTAAGGGTACTG